CGGGCCTAAACTTTCGACCCTTTTACATAATTGGGTCGGGCAAGGATCTACCCGTTTGAACCCAGGTCAAGTCTGGGTTCGACCCAAAATCCGATTTTAACACCCATATATATAACACTTTGAGAACAAATTACATTTTCAAAAATTTTATGACTTAATTGATATTATATTTATCCTTCAAAAGATCATTACAAAGGCGATTCATATTCCATCGTCTGTCTTCTTATCTTGATTTTGCGCCCTTATCGTCGTCACTCTGTCACTGTTTATTCTCTCGATACGTTGTCTGATTGTCTCTGCTCTTCTCCATCGCACTGCTGTATGTTCTCCCCCGTTGGCTTCTTCATGCTTTTGAAACGAAAATGAAGCATATAATTCTATTCATACAATTTTGTTCAGTATTTATATAGAAATTTTGGCGTCTCTTGAAATTTTCTTTTATTTGTATGTGTTGAAATTTTACAGGAAATTAAGATGATAAACTTTTTTTTTTATAACTGCCATAAATTATTTTCAAAGTAACAAATGTCATTTTCATTGAGCTTGTTTTATAAATGACATTTTATTTTTGAATTAAATCTCGATTATTAGCTATAATACGCAATTAGGAAATGATTCTAAATATGAAATTATGTCGTGTTGCATTTGATATCATCTGTGATATACAATTGTTGTTTGTTTGCTAAAAGATTTGATTGATTTGTTAGTTTCTTATGTTACCTTTTTATCGATAATGTTTGTGACAAAAATTTGTCATTAAAATAAAATTATTATTGTCATTAAAATAATTTGATGAGATTTGTTAAAATTGAAATAAAATTTATTTTGTTAAGTATATTTAATCAAATAATAACTTAATAATTTTTATCATTTTTTTGAATATAATGCTTTACTCAAAGCAACAAAATGAGAAATCAGGCTTCGTTTGGGACAGCTTTCTTACTGTTTCTTAGATTGGTGAAGAAGGGCATTGATGGCTTTTTTGAAGGAGAAGATCATAGGAAGTTGTTGTTAGTCACCTATACATGTGGCTCTCTACCATTGGGTTCACTATGTACCGTTAGGCTCATAGCTATACTTTCTTGTTATCCCTCATGTATTAAATAGACCCCTGTACTACCGCAAATCAATAAGAAAAGCTTTCACTCTTCTTTCACGTTTAGGCTCGTTCACGAGCCATTCTCTGCTCCTACATCTTCTCTGTTTCTACAGTTGTCACAAGTGCAGCGAAGTTTGAAGGAGAAGTTGCAATGGGAGCTTGATGGAGGTGGTATCGACAACTTCTTAAGGGGACGAAGAAATCACGAGGGTAGTGATTGCATGTCAACATTTAAAGAAGAAGAGGAGGTAGTCATCACGAAAGCTCAATGAAGAAGATGAGACAAGTGTTGATTGCATAATACCCTCAAATCTCAATTAGAGCAAAAACTAGAATGATTGAACATAAAACACAGGAGAAATGAGATTTAATGGAGTCAGTTTGTGAGCCAAAAAGTAAAGTCAGGTCAAGCTAGAACCTGAACTCATATATTACATAAGCTATAATTTATGCTTAAAATAATTTTTTAATATAAATTTTTAAAAAAATAATAATCGTTTGAGGTTCTCTTAAAATGGAGAAGCATTCAATGACATCATGAATTGACAACCACTATGGAGAAAGAAAGTTGCATTAGCCTTATTGAAGAAAGTAAGTAAAGCTAATTCCAGCGTATAGCTAAATAGGGAAAAGCCATTGGATTAATCAATACAGGGCTATCAGTAAATGCTTTATTTTGAAATATTTTTAGCTAATAAACGATAAGAGGAGTACAAAGGACAGAAGCCTTTGCCGTGTAAGACTGAACTACAATAGAATGTTATTGTTATTATTTTGGGTGTTCATCTTGGATAATCATAAATATTTGTTATGATTATCACAGTTTAAATATTCTTATAATTTTTATTATTTTTAGAAGAATATATCATAATTTATGTATATCACTGATGCATCGCTAAAAATTCTACAATCAAACACGGGTTTTGATTCATGCACGTGAATTAGAACATTTTAAGATTTAGTTTAGGTTGGACTTTTATTTCGATAAATTTATGTTTGAAATGAACATTTCTGACTCTGAACGCTCAAGTTTACGTCACGACAAATTGAGTAGAACAAATAAACAAGGGAGGGAATGCATTCACGCAGCAAAGGGTTGGCGCTCACACACCGAGGCAGACCAAGCAAAGAAACTAGAGCCACCACCCGACTGTGCGTCAGGATACAAGAAAGAAACAAGAACAACTACCTGACCGTGCGTCAGGATGCAGGTACATATCCCAAATGGAATGTAAAATTAATAGATTAGTCATCTCCCATTTACTATTCAATAATCATCTTATTTATACACAGATAGGGCCACACGATTGATTATACCAAAGAAAGAAAACAAATAATGAAGAATACAAATAGCTGAAGTTGTATAAATGACCAAGATGTTTCCATACGCAAAGCTCCGGCGTCAATTTCTATTGCGGGCTAGTATGTTTGCGATAGTAGAGTGAGATAATATTTTATCCTAGCTTATAATGAAGCATAGATATAGAGCACACAAACTTTTGTACCGATAATTTTGTATTAATTCAAATGTTCTGAGAAGGCTCAATCATGTTATATGTATGCTAATTTCTTAATAAAATCATTTGAGATTTATTTTTTGCTTATTTTTCTTGCATCTTGAGCATAATTCATTTTGTTAATAATATCATAATTACTTTTTAACGGAGAACTTTATATTAAGTCAAATATTCAAAGCATAACATCAGTTAGGTGATGTGACCCTTAATATGCAAAAAAAAAAATCACGTTAATCGCTAAACCACAAGAATTTAGATTACCATTAAGCTAATGACATTCATAATTAATCTAATTCTTTTTTAGATAAATCACTCTTAAACATGCTAAAAAACAAATCATTGCAAATCAAAAAAAGCCAGCCAGATGGATTACCACTAACTCCATTGATAGAGCGATGGAGTACCCTCAAAGCTCTTTCTAATTGCGGTTAATTATAAAATAATTATTTTGATTACTAATAATGATGAGATAATCATCTTCTTATCCAGAAGGAATGTTGATCGGTGTGCCTGTTGTTAATGTTTCATATGGGCACGTGTGACGTGTCAAAACATGAATCGTTGGTAGTTATCGCTAAAAGTTAAAGCGAGAATTAATTCTTTAATGTGGAGGAAAAAAAAATAGTATAGAAATACAAAAAAATCACTAAAAATAATAACTTTAACTTTCTTCTGTGATGACACGTGGCCAGCGTGTACAGAGTTATACCTATTTCAGTGGATGAGATATTTAAAAGGAAAGTAATTAGATTAAAAGTTAAAGAAAAAGGTGAAAATAGAAAGAAAGAGAGGTTGAGACTGACATTAACATAGGAAGAAATATTTGCTTTCTTTTGTGATTTTTACTCTATTAAAACAATTCCCATTTGGGATGATTGGCTTTAAATCTTCCTTCTACTCATAATTGAATATCAAGGCAAATGTGAGCGGTCAAAAAGCTCTTAATATTAGAATTTGTTTAATTAGAAGGATTATTGACTCTTTGGTGAATCTTAATCAAATTAATTTAGGTCATGGACTCTTAATGCACCATAATTAGTCTTATTATTTTATTAGTAGAGTTGATCATGGGTTGTCAATTGACAAGGGGTATTAATATTTGATATGACATGAAAATCTAATTCGAACCCGATCTGAAAATTTCGGTTTCTGGCTAACCCCAGGGATTTTGACCCATTTGTAAAACCGGATCGGGTTCGGGTTGACCTGGAAACCCGAAACCAATCCGATTTTTACCCGGCAACCGCTCCATGAGTGATGTAAGTCGCATCACGTGAGTCCTGTCACGAATTAACAGTGACCGATTTATAAAATTTGGCTAATAATTAAGCAATAATGAAGGCCGGCGGCGACGTGACGGCATGGTGGCCAATTTACGGGATTTGTCTGGATAAGCATGCGAAAGGATGGCCAGTTGCGACCAATTTATGGGATTTGGCTGAATAATAGCGTGAAAGGAGCAGTGCAACGACCGATTTACAAGATTTGGCTGAATAGGCGCACGAACAGCATGCCGACGTGCGTCCCGTTTACGGGATTTGGCTGAATAAATTGATGAACCGACCGGGTTCTGGTCAGGTTGAATAGTGTTGTGTCAGTTCCGGGTTGGATCCAAACCCGACCTGTCACCTAATTTTGATAGACCTAGAATTGACTAATATTTTGATGACAAAGAGAAATTAAATTTATCATATGGAGCTTTACAAAGACTCCATGGAGATATATCATGTCATGATTGTCCATACGCATTGGTGTACTGTTGCTCATGTAGTAGTTGGTGGGTGTAAAAAAGTCTAAAATCATATTCTTATATTTATAGATTTTTTGTGGAGACATTTTAATTATTCCGTCTAAATGTTCAAATGCTCTATTGGGATCTCTAGAATTATTACTTCAAATATTTAATATTTTTCAAATATTTGAGTGTCTTAATGACATTAAATTTGCCTAATGTTAATGCATATTACAAAATAATATCACATAATTATTAGCCATTAAATTAAAATATTTTACATGCATGAATTAATAGTTAAATATAGAAATGAAATAGCTTTAATTTTTGAAGTTGAGATGAGGACTTTTTCTACTCTTAATGCTCTCGAGTCTTTCGGCAACCCGATATATATCCATCTACTCTCGGCCGGCCGGCGGGCCTTCCTTCATCGGCTGCCTGACCCGATCGGAGCCCATGACATGAACGGCCAGATGATCGCCGATGTAACCATTACGTCATCGTCGCCGTTACAGTTGGCATCACTGTCACCGTCGCCGACCAACCCACGTGTACAGACGCAAGTCACGCAACCGCGCTCTACTTTCACACGCTCCACGGCCTCATGAAATAACGTGGTCCCCAATCTACCCTCAAACAAAATCTTTAATGCCGTTCATATCCTCGAACCCGACCTCTCGTGTCCATAAAGACTCCCCTCCTCCCTCTTTTCCCAGAAATTTCAACCTCTTAATTCCTTCTCCGGCGATGTATAATCCCGTTACACAGCTACCGCCGGGCTTCCGCTTCCACCCGACCGACGAGGAGCTCATCATCCACTACCTGAGAAACCGGACGGCGGCGGCTTCATCGCCGTCTCCGGTCTCCATCATCGCTGAGGTTGATATCTACAAGTTCGATCCATGGGATCTTCCCGGTAATCCCATACATCCTAACACAAACCCGTGTTTCTTTCCGTATAATCCAAAGTGTTTGATGAAATGCCTATTGCAGAGAAGGCTCTGTTCGGCGACCGCGAGTGGTATTTCTTCACTCCTCGGGATCGTAAGTACCCTAATGGTGTCCGGCCGAACCGAGCGGCGGTGTCTGGGTACTGGAAGGCGACCGGGACGGACAAGGCGATTAGTTCTGGGAGCAATAACGTTGGGGTGAAGAAGGCTTTGGTGTTCTACAAGGGAAAGCCACCTAAAGGGTTTAAAACAAATTGGATTATGCATGAATATAGACTGGCTGATTCGCAGAACAGTAACAAATATAGACCCATGAGCATGAGGCTTCCAGATCATTCCATGAGGGTAAAAACTTTATCTTTTTCTTCGAAAAAACTGTTTGCCTTTTTAAGATAGAAAAATATTTAATTTGATGGGCATAAAGTCATCATAGATGCAGATTTCAGGTGATCCAAAGCTCAAATACAAATAAAAATTTATACTTATTTGGTCCAAAGTTTTTGTCTTAGTAAATATGATAATCTGATTAAATTTTTTAGTTAGGATAGATTTCAGAACTGTTCTCTATGTTTATTTTTTAATTAAAATATTTTAATTGAATTTTTTTCCTTGTTTGAATGTCAAGTTCAGGTAGCTGAAATATTTAGTAAAAAGGACTTGCGAGATATTGGACCGAATGAGTTGCAATTAATAGATTGAGTGAAAGAATAATAAAGGAAACCATAAATAACATCGTCTGTGCTTTATCATAGTAACGGTGAATGAATTTCCCCAAAAAATATAAAACTTCTAATGCTTTAGTTTTTTTACGTACACCTGTCATAAAATTATGTGATATAGGACAGGTGTCATCATATGATTCTTCCTCAAAATAGTGTGCTGTTTTTTCTTTTAAGAAAAACCTGCTACAACTAAAAGCAGCCTTTGAAGGGCTTCTATGGTTGCTTATATTTGGATAGAACTCGAACGAACGAGTCTAAGCTCAAAAAAAAATTTGATTTTAAGTTGCTTTTGTAATCGAGTTAATTATCTTAATATTAATTTTATAAATATTTTTTTCATAATTATTAATCATGATTAATCAGGCAAAAGAATATCAAATGTTTCTTTATCCTTCTCTAATCTAATGTTCACTATATCGATCTGATATTATTATGCTCTTCTTCTTCCTTTACATCAGATGGACGATTGGGTTCTTTGCCGCATATACAGGAAGAGCAGGCACCTTCCACCCCCAGTAATCATTGATCAAGAACTTGAAAACTCTTGTGCAGATGATACCTACATTCCCACACAAAGCCTTCCTCTGCAACACAATCTACTAAAGCTTCCAAAAACCTCATCCATTTCAGAATTTTTCGAAGATTTCTCACAGCTTTCTAATGCCTTCGACATCCCACTTGACCTGCCGAGATTTGATAAAAATCCGCTCATTGGCCATCCCATTTCAAATCTGCTACAAACAAACGATGATAACAACGATACCAAAGCCTACTTCCTACCACAGCTCTCCCAAATAGAATCCTCCGATCATTCTCTTAGCCTAAAGCACCAGAAACACGATGAGAGGAACAGCAAAGAAGACACTAATGGATCCTCACAGAACTTCTCGGGACTTTTTGATAACTCTCAATACAGCTTGCTAAACCAGCCCTTCTTCAGCCAGCAGCTGCTCATAAACTCCCTCTCTGGCTTGCAGTGATTTTCAGAAAAAGCAATATATACTTCATATATATTAGAAACAAGATATTAAAATTTGGATCGATCGTTGGTGGAAGAGCTTAATAATTGCCAAATATATTATTTTTAAAGACATTTTGTGGTTGATAACTGTATCATCCATCTCTGTAATATTATATATATATTGTGATAATTATAATTTATATTATCATCCATGCCTCCATGGCTCTAAATGAAAGCAATATTTGCGATAGCTACCTCAAAGAAGCATAATATTAAGTTAAGTGTTGCAGAGATGATGATGCTTAGATGGATGAGTGGCTTTACCCTTAGAAATAGGATATGAAATGAGCATATATGTGAAAAGGTTGGGGTATCTCCAGTGAAAGATAAGATTAGAGAAAGACGCCTTAGATGGTTTGGTCACATTAAACGGAGGCTTCCTTCCGATGAACCGGTTAGGAAAGTTGAGGTTTTAGATTTGTCTTATGTTAAGAAAGATAAAGGCAGATCTAAAAAGACTTAGTTAGAAAATATCTTTCTTTATTAGATTTAAATGAGAATTTAACTTTTAACATGACACAATGGCGAAAAAGGATTCATGTAGCTGACCTCATGATGTAGTGGGACAAAAGCATGATGTTGTTGTTTTACGTCAGAGGGTACAATATCATGAACAGTACTTAACTGAATGGAAGAATATGAAAGGAATCCTTATCCATAATAAATTAAACCAGCTTTAGTGCACGTTGTAATCCAATGAGGATGGGATGGTGATTTGCATAAGATTCAAAGTTTTGGAATTAAGAGGGAGAGAAGAATACTCCAAGGTCTGATAGCGACTCATTGAATGGCATGATAAAAGAGGCTCAATAATGCATGTAACGGTCTCTTTCATTTATTTTTATTACGATATAAAGTTTCAGCCAATGGAAAAATATTTTTATTTATTTAGATAATATCATTGATTTGAAAAATCAAGGCTACTGTATATGAAATATGAATGAATGAATAAAACAAAGATAGGACCTTCAGCTATTAATGATACATATAGTATGTAATAGCTAGCTAGCATTAGATAGCTTTATAAACAGTTGAAAGCAGCTTATTAAATAGTTTTCAATTGATATATGGCTATATCAAATATTAAAAATAATTCCATTTTTGGAGTGGTTGAGGAGATGCCTACAATGAATATCGTAAATGAGATATTTTATTTTATTGATTATTATTTACAAATAACTAATATATAGATTATACTTTTTTTATAATATATATACATATATATAAACTAAATTCATTAAAATAATGCCAGATATCTTATTATAAATTCTTATCAATTTTATTTAATTTGAATGCTTTTGCACCATAAAATAAGCGAATAATTTATTTCACTATTTAGACTATTTGTTAGGTTTTTTTTTGGATAATATTAGTTGAATGATAAAATCATCTTAAAATTTCACTTAAAATGATAGCATTTTTCAATGACTAAGAAACTATTTGGGATAGTAGCAGCTTCTTATAGAGATTATTGTAAAGTTATTGTGCTTAAATTAGTTTTTTTGAAAGTTTTATAAGAAGTATATTTTTAGCACACCAATTTCTTGAAAGCAAAGAAAAAATAAAAGCTAAACGGAAATTGTGGTTATAATTGGAAAAGCAAAGCAGCATGTAAGTTGTCCCAAATAGGCCTAAGGTTTCGTTTGAGACGATTTTTTTATTGCTTCTTAAAACAACTTTCCGGTTCAAAAAGTTAAAATTTTATACTAGAAAGCTGCTTTAAGAAGCAGTAAGAAAGTCCAGCCTAAATCTAATTAAAAGTATTTTCTTAATAGACTTGTTGCGTCCAGGAATATTCGCGACGGTAGAGAAAAATAAAGTTTAGCGTCCTAGCATTGTACGAAGATCCTGCACTCAAGCATAAAGAGAGAAGTAAAACACCCGGTCTTTTTTACGTGAAAAAATCGAAGAGGGAAGGACCACGGGGCCTCGCCCAGGTGAAAGGATTCCACTAAACTTGAGTGAATTACAAGGGTTGACCCATCCCATCCCTTGATTTAGAGGTGATCAGTTTACAGTAATTTGGGGAGCTTGTCAAAGGTCTATCGACTGTCGGGCAGGAGTTTGACAGCTTCTGTGCAGAAGTTCAGCTGACAATGAACAATCCAACGAAGGTCCAGCGGTGGATGACGGATGGCGGCTGGGCGGTAGTCCGACTAAGCTCGGGCTGAAGTTTGGCAGCGGTCGTTTGCTGGGCGAAGGTCTAATTGCGGTTGGCGGTCGGGCGGTGGTCCGACGAAGGTCAGGCTAAGGTCTGACTGCGGTCAGAGCCAGGTGGAAGTCCGGCGGCAATCGATGCTCGGGCGGTGGTGCTGGAGTTCCTAAGGCTTTAGAGCTCTCTCCAATCTATAGCCAAAGGTCTCCATTATATAGAGAGTATGGGTCTATTTTTAAATTTTCATGAGTGGCACACCCCGTAAATATAAAGAAGAAATGGGGCATGTTCAGAGTGCTCCATCGGATGGCTTGTATTGATTTCCCCCATCATAAAGAGTTTTTTAACTGTTTAAGGGCCTTAACGATGTCGGAATTTAGCGATCTTAGGCTCGTTGGATTTTTTTTGTCAAGCCGTTTGATTTGATTATTAGCATGCCATATTTGGATATATTTTGTCATCCAAATAATTCTTTGTCCTTCCAAATGTGGTTTGGGCCCTTGATTTGGACCCATTTGGGCCCGGGTTGGATCGATTTTGTTGTTGTTAAATGTTTAGTTTGACAATAAGTTTGTTGAAATTGAAACTCAGATGATCGTGAATTTAACTTTGAAAGTTTTCAACTTGAATATATCCTGAGATTTGTGCTCTATCAAAGAAATTTTTTGATGACGTATCAAATATAAATTAATTTCATAATTATAATGACTCATGATTACCAAAATTTGACTTTGTTAATTCATAATTTTAATATTTAGCCAATTTTTTTCAATTTCGTTTGAACTTTTTAGTTACATCCAAAATGATTTGACAAATATCCTTACTGCTTAGAGCACATTAGAGCACAACGTGAAAAAAGCAGCATCATTTTGTCTTTACTTCTACCTATTAATTGCAATATAATAATTTGTTTTGAATTTTTGTTTATATATACATTCAAAATGATTTG